CCCTAGAGTTGCATTGGAGGACCTAGAGATTTCTAGAGGAAACATATTAATCAAATCTGCAAATAAACCGATCTGGAAAAGTCAGAGCCGCAAATGTGGCGGGCCGACTTTACATGCACCCTTACTTACGCATGTGTAACTAAATCGGCAATGTGGAATAGGGGCCATTATTAACAACTATTTGTAGCAGCAATTCAAACAGCCCCATCCTCTTCCTTCCCAGGACAAACACGCCGAAGAGGTCCGGAAGAACAAGGAGCTAAAAGAAGAGGCCTCCAGGTAAAGAGGCCCCGCAGCTCATAACAGTTCGGACTAAAAGCTCCAAGGGAAGATGGCGTGTGGCAGGCGGCGGTCATGGCGGCAACTGTCTCGAGCGCAAAAGTGTTAAAACTGATGAATTGGGATTGTCCTCTGCTTTCGTTGTTTGTGAATGTGAAGAGAAAAAAAAAGAGAATGGGTTGGTGAAACCATCTTGTGTGTTTCAGGGCGGGAGGGACGGCGGGATATTTTTTAAGCCCAGGTTCTGTCGCGTTTTCTTTATCCACAAAATGGCGGGCGGTTCAAAATGGAACCCAACGCATTTGAGATGGGGGGGAAGGTGGTAGAAATGGCGGGTTACGAGGGGGACGGTGTCTGGAGGGGTTGGGGTGGACATTCCCATAGAGGAAAGAGACGTTAGCAAAATTGGGCGAGGGTCTGGGTGCGAGCAGAGGAAAGTCAAGTCCCCTCTGGGGCGCTGAATGTTGTCTTGTGTCTTTTGCCATTGTTAATGTCGGTCATCGGCGTGAAAAGAGCGCTTTGCGTTACTTCCATTGACTCCATTTTGTCTCCTAATTCTAAGCTGTCGCAAGGCTGGCGTTGCTTCGCCGAAGGCAACTGTGGTGGTGATTTCAAAACCCGCACGCCTCGGCTTTTTAAAAAAATAGTAATAGTAATAGTAATAAAATAACAATCTAATCTGCAGTACTGAAATAATGCCATTGCTCCATGCTATGGAATGTGGGGATTTATAGTTTGGTAAGAGCCAGTGTGGCGTAGTGGTTTGGGTGTTGGACTATGACTCTGGAGACCAGAGTTCGGTTCCCAGCTCGGCTATGAAACCCACTGGATCACCTTGGGCAAGTCACATTCTCTCAGCCTCAGGGGAAGGCAATTGCAAAAAAAACCCTAAACAAACTTCTCCAAGAATACCGTATGTCAGAAATAACTTGAAGGCACACAACAATGAACTATTTAGCCTTCTCTGCCAGAGAACTCTGGTGCCATATCGAACTACAGATCCCAGGATTCCATAGGATGGAGCCATGACAGTTAAAATGGTGTCAAACTGCATTCATTCTTCAGTGCAGATTAGACCGATGTTTGCTAGAGGTCTGCTGTTGGATGAGCATTCCCCATCCCTGCCTGCATTCTTCATCCCCATTGATACCAGAGTCCATGTGGTCAATTCATTCCCATATTTCTCTACTTATTTAATAGCTTTCTCATGATATCGCAATCAGAATTGCTTCTCTGGATGTGTACCATTTATTATATAAAGTGCCAGTCTTATTCTTCCAAAGCCTAACATTTATGGGCCGACAGAAGCTGTGGCTGGCTACCAGGTGTATAATTTTGGAAGTGGTGCCAAAATTTTTGGATGGAGCGTAATTTTTGGAAGGGTTCCCTGTAATAAATAAATAAAAATAAATAAACTCTGAGCAAACTCCCCTCTTCAGATCATGAGGACCAGCTACTTGAATGCAGCAACATTTCATGGTTTCCCTTTGCCTCATATCTTGGCCCATGTGAAGTGACCCAGTAAGGAAAAAGAAGGGTCTCTCGGTGTAATGTCTCCCCCAAAATCTTAGGATCTTTGAGTTGGAAGGGTCCCCAAGGGCATCTAATCCAACCCCATTCTTCCACGCAGGAGAACACTACACCTGAGAGAGAACCATCCAGCCTCTGTTTAAAGACCTCCAAAAATAGAGAGTCTACCACCCTCTCGGGTATTCCTTTCTACTGCCAACGGGATGGTGAATCCGTTCCAGTTTTTAGCCCGACAACCAGGGGATGCTCCATCCATGGAATGGGGAACCCACCCAGGGTTTGAACTCTGAACTTTAGAGGAGTGATCCAAGGAATTGTACCTTATTTTCCCCAAATAGGCCCAGCTACTTGATAGGTCAGACTTAAATCCAGAGCGGATTCATTGTCCCGCGACATGTAAGTGGTCAGTGGCCACCAAGGGTGTTTGGAGGGTCTATGACCTCATCCTGAAGGAAACACTTTCCAAGTGGTACCTTGGAAAAGATTCCAAAATAGGATCTGTGCATTTTTGAGTATGCAAGCTTTTGGGCGAGACAGAGTGCTTTCCCAGCCAGAATGATGGTCACTTCAACATGTGCCAGGAGATGACATATAGGATCGTGGCATCATATTTTTAAATCAAGAAATGGCCTCTACCCAGGGCAGTCTTATACCTTGGGTCCGAACTTGCAAAAGTTCCTTTTGGGCATGACAGCTCCCAGAATCCCCCAACCAGCTAAGGTTCTGGGCGCTGTCGTCCCCAAAAGGACCTTTTCCAAGCTCAGACCTAAGGCCACAAAGATGTTTGTCCCGCATTAACGGGTCAGACATGCCGGAGGCTGCAGAGAAGCTAAAAATATGCCATGATTGATCTCAACAGGAAAAGATGAAAACCATAAATGTTCTGTGCTGTCCGGTATTGATCGCATCCCTCCCCTGGGAACTTTTGGCTGCTTGGCATCCGGATGAAGCATTTTTAGACGATCAATGAAATGGGGAGAGGGAGGATTGGAAACTGGCATCTCTGGGGGTTGTGTAGAAGTGGCTTATCCATCACACGTCTCCTCCTTCTGGACATGAAAACACTGAACCAAAGCGGTGGTCAAGAGGGAGGAAGAAGGAGCCTTTGTAGTTGTTCTGGTTGTAGCTAGGACCTCTTCTTTTGTACACAGTGGTTGTAAATAAAACTGCCGACATTTTCTTTCTGACTTGTCTATTCAAGGCTGTCATTTCTGGGGTGTTTGCGTGTCCCTCGGTGTGTGTGCGAGAACTCAATGGGGACTAGAGCCTCCTCTAGAATGATAAACACACACAGTTGGAAGGGACCCCCAAGGGTCACCTAGTCTAACCCCAGCTGAGAGATGGCCATCTAAAGACCTCCAGTGAAGGAGGTGCAGTGTGGTGTAGTGGTTTACATATTGGACCAGGACTCTACAAGACTAGGGTTTCAATCCCCACTTGGCTGTGGAAACCCACTGAACCCCCTTGGCTAAGTCATGCTCTCTCAACCTAAGAGGAAGGCAATGGCAAAGTTCTTCCGAAGAAATCTGTTCATGAACACCCTAGGTGAGGCAGCACGGTGTAGCACGGTGTCCACTCACCCCAAAACCAATGCCAATAGACCTTCTGGTGTATGGCTACTCCCAGGGAAGGTTCCTAATTTTTGCTGTTAACACAACTTTGCTCTGAATTAAGCAAACTTGGGAAAATCCCGATGGTTCCCGGAAACCCCAGAGTGACCTTGGGTTCTTTTTGGCATGTGGACAGCTGGTTTGGGTCCAATTCAGCCCAATCCAGTTGCCCACATGCCAAGAGCAGCACAGGGAAGGGAGATGGCCTGTTTTTGGAAAGCCTCTGCTGCTTCCTCATGGGCAGGAGCTTCATGTAAGGCTTGCATGGCACGGCAGAAGTGGCAATACACCAGGCAGGATTTACCAGGGACAGGGATGTTACCCAAAAAGACTGGGATCTTACCCTATGTTTAACGGTTCCACGCCGCACAGAACAGAGGCAATTCCAAATAAGAGTTTTGTATTTTATTTGTAGTAAAATAATCAACATGCATACACACGCACACTCTCACGCACACAAGAACTAACAAAAGGTGGGAGAAGGTAGAGAGTTGTAGGCCTAACTAATGGAAATACTGTACCGATCCTGAAGTCTATCTCCAATTGAGGGAGGTTCAGAATGGAGGTGACTCTATAGCAGGGGTAGGCAACCTAAGGCCCAGGGGCCGGATGTGGACCCCTGAGGCCTTTGGACCGGCCCCAGCCCAATCCTACTGCCGCCGCTGCCGCCGCCGCCCACCATGATGATATTGATTATTGTTGTTATTACTTGTTCTTGGGGTTTTCTTGGCAAAATCTCCACAGGGGTTTTGCCATGGCTTTTCTGGGGCTGAGAGAGTGTGCATGCATATTTATTTATTTATTTTTGGTGCTTCGCCCCCCCCCCCCCCCCCCAATTGTCGGAGGGACAGCAAACCGTCCCCCAGCTCAAAAAGATTGCCTACCCCTGCTCTATAGCCACTGTGGCAAGTGGGGTGGCTGGCTTATTGAGGGATCTAGTAGAAATCAGACAGAGGTTCTGTCCAGCTCCAAACTATCCTGAATAGAGAGTTCAGGCAGTAACATTTATACCTCAAAACACATCCCAGGGCAATACTCTTGGGAAGATAGGATTATTTTATTGCTAAATAGTTTTCCCAGGGCACAAGAATGGTCCGAAGATTGAGGAAATGTCCAGAGGATTGGTGTGAGCTTCCCAGACAAAGGAAGACTCCTTCCACAGAGGAAATACCTTTTGTCCATATATGCATAACCATTTCTCAGGTCAGAATCCCACCATCATCCTCCAGAGAAAAGGGATTATGCTGATGTCAGTTGTGTGATCTCATGGTGGTGGGTGCTCTTGCCTCCTCCCTTGGGAAAGCCAACTGGATTTCCAAATGTGGTTTGGCCAGGTTTCCATAGTGGGCTACCCATCTCAGCGTCCATGTTAATATTGCATTGATATCAGGGGCCTGACCCTGGGGTAACAGGGGCAATTGCCATGCTGGCCCATGTGCACAACAACACAGCGTCTCACTGGACTTGGCCTGGTGTGTGTGTGGTCACCAGCATGGTTGGCCTAGGGCCACTCCGGGGCACAATGATCCAGACTGGCCCCAGATTAAGCAGCAGGTGTAGATGCTTCCTAGGACTCTGGAAAGCCAAGCATCAATTCCCTGCTTAACCACAGAAACCCAGTGTGTGACTTTGGGCAAGCCACACTCTCTCAGCCTCAGAGGAAGACAATGGCAAATCCTCTCTGAAGAAATCTGCACAATTTAACTCTAGGATAGAGTTGCCATAAGTCAGGGTCAGGGTCAACCTGGAGGGACATAACACATAAGGAAGGTGAGACCACCCCTCTCTGAGCAGTTGAGCAGCTTTTTCCCTTCAGGTAGTTCTTCCTAATGCTTAGTGGAATCTCTTTTTAAATAATTTTAATCCCTTAGTTTGTGTTCTAGCCTCTGGAGCAGCACAAAACAAGCTCACTGCATCTTCTACATGGCATCTCTTCACATATTTAAAGGTGGCTACCATGTCACATCTCAGGTTGTATCTGCACTGCAGAAATAATCCAGTTTGACATCACTTTTTAACTGTTGTGGCTCAATGCTACGGAATCATGGGATTTGTAGTTTCTAGTGGATCTCTTATCCAAGCTCACAATATCCAGCTCCCAAAGTCATTTCTCATCAGGCTTGCTTTCAATCTTGCTCACCTTTCTCCATATATATTGCAACTTGTCATTATCCTTCTTGAACTAACACTAAGAAATGGACACATGTTGGTGGGGGCACAGAATCTAGTCTACTTTTTAGCTTGCACCTTTAAAGAAGCCATCTGAGGGCCCCAAATCTAGGATTGGCCAAAAATCAAGAATGGATTAACCCCCTCCTCCACCTAGATGGAAATGTAACAAACAAATAGACACACACTGACAACAACTTAGTTCCTGCAGATATAATAGCTTTTACACACCATTACTAAAGCCAGCATACGGACACTGAGAAAGCCGAGTTGCAATGGCAGCAAATGGCTCTCATGTTAGTAGGGATGGTGAAACCACTCCGGGTTCTAAGCTGAATTTTAAAGGGTATATCCAGGGTGCTGAATCTATCTGAAGAAAAGTTCAAACTCGTGTTAAATATGGAAAATATGTACCATTCAACTGCTGTGGATGCCATCAGCTGCCAATGATTATAATATATGTCTTGGTATTTAGTTCAACCTAGACAATAAAGAAATAGAAATAGT